TTCACCAACAATAAAATCCAACTCTTAGCCAGTAGTAGTGGTGCCTGCCTGTAATCCCAGCGGCTCCAGAGGCTGAGGCAGGAGGATCACAAGTTCAAAGCCTGAGCTCAGCAACTTAGTGAGTACCTAAGCCACTTAGTGAAATCCTGTCTCTAAATAAAATATAAAAAGGGCTGAGGATGTGGCTCAGTGGTTAAGCCCCACTAGATTCAATCCCCAGGGCCAAAAAGAAAAAAAAAAACCCAACTTTTGGCCAATGTTACTATCCAAAGTTTTCTGATTTCTTCATCTAATTCTTCTATTATATGAATTGCCAATAAAAAGAATTTTTAAACTTAACAATCTGAAAGTGTAGAACTACAAACATTTACAGCCAGAAAATAAATAAATAAACAAACCCATGAGATAGTAATTATATTCACTCTAAAATGAGCCTTTTGAGCCAGATCCAGTGACACACACCTGTAATCTCTTCTACTCAGGAGGTTGAAGCAGAAGGATCATAAATTCTGCAAGTTTGAAGCCAGCCTGGGCAACTTAAAACCTGTCTCAAAATACTACATTTTAAAAAATATGCTGAGGATGAGACCCATTTATAGAATAGCTCTGGCTTCAATCCCCAATACCAATCAATCAATCATACAATCAATAAAATGATCCTCTGACCGTGAAGTTTCTAACTCAACCTTTCTCCAATTCTCAAAGTAGTACTTGAATAAGTACACAAATGAGAACTACAAAAAAAATTTAAGAAAACATTGCTATTTTAATACTAACATTGGTATAAGATTTTCCTCTTTAAATTCAATGAAATGATTTCTTGAAAAAGTGTAGCTATTTCCACAAAGGACATTTACTCCAAAAGAAATAGGGTGTAATGGGGAAAGGAAACAAGGCACTTGTTTAAATTCTACAGCATATCTCAAAATGGCCTCAATTTTGAAATGACTATCCCTAAAAACTTATTTGAAGGGGAAAAAAATCACTCAAAGAAAAACAGGATAAATCCATGAGCCAAGTGTACCTATTCATTAAATCCTATACATTATTATATCAAAACCCACAGAAATAGCCAGGCAGCACAATGAAATTTTGCTTTGATACGCTGTACAGTGGTTTAGAAAGCTGTGGAATTTTGATACAAGGGTTTCATCCTTCCTTCATTTTCTTTCGTCCATGAAATTAATTTATCTCCTTTTAGTCTTGAGGATGTATAGGGAATAAATGGCATAAATTTTTATTTCTCTGAAGACAAGTGCCACATAAAATCTTTGTTTTTAACTCATGATGGAAAAATTAGCATGCACAGAAGGTCACAGTATCTCAACTGGCCAAAGTAAAAAATGACAATTGAAACTATTTAGTTATTTAATTTACAAAAGCACGTTAGTTTTGTTTTTGTTTTTGTTTTTTTTTGGGGGGGGGGTTACTCAGGATTGAACCCAAGGGTGCGTGATACTGAGTCATATCCCTAATTTGTTTTTGAAAGAGGGTCTCTATAAGTTGCCTCAGCCTCCCAAGCAGTTGGGATTACAGGCATGCACCACAATGCCAGGCAAAATGATAAATCTTACTTATATTTCTGTATAGTTTTAATGTATCTTCATATATTATACAATAAATTTTTTTAAAATAAGAAAGAGCTAAATCTATATAGTCATCAACAATTATTTGAAGACACAGGCACAGAAAGTACTTATACCTATTAAAACATTCCCTAATAAATGTGGTGAGCATAAGTCAGCATGCCAGCATCTGAATATATTTCATGATATATTATTGCAAATTGACACCAAAGACCTGTTTTCACAACCAAATGAGGGAGAGGTTAACTGAGGTTTCATTTTCACCATAAACAAACTGTGAATTTGGTATGTGACATATAAATAAGTATACTTGAAGGAAAGAGCTCTAGAACTCAAATCTTTCTTCTAGGCAATGTTCTTCCTATAACTAGTTTTGCTTGAACACATCACTTATCCTCTCTTTCAAGTCATAGGCAGCATTCATTTTTAAATATTTATTCTGCTAATGATACATGACTGTAATCCCAGACTTGTAAGGCCAAGGCACAAGGACTACAAGTTCAAGGCCAGCCTAGGCAACTTAGTAAGACCCTATCTCAAAATAAAAATAAAAAGTACTAGGGATGTAGCTCAGTGGTAATGCTTCCCTGAGTTCAATCCCCAGTACCAAAAAAGAAAAAGAAAAAAAAAATAGGCTATTCAAAGATCACCCTACTTTTCAGTCTACTGGTTCATTCCCATACTCTTGATCACTAAAGAATAAAGCTAGCACAATATTCTTTGAGGATTATTTCAGAAGAACAAAAAAGACTCAACTAAAATCCTTCAAAAAATGGGAAATCAATATGCCTACACAGCTTAAGGGTTTCACTTCCCTAACAGGCAAAAAGCACAAAAGATTTTTCACACCTAACTGCACGACTACAAAAGGACAATCACTCACAGAACCCATACCCATAGCAAAATGCACTTGCACAGCTTCAGCATTCTACCAATTTGGAAGCCCTCAATTTGGAAGCCCTAGGTTAAGTAGACAAAGTTCATGATCCTCATTCATTAAAGTGTCCCAGACCTCTCTTGCTAAAAAGGCTAATCTTACATGAAAATGATTTGTTCCTGTTCTTGTAGACAGTTTCAGGACTACTTAAAGAAAGAAATACCAAATACAACAATGAACAAGGCTGGAAATAACAATATGCAACTGAGATGAAATCCCAAACTCTTATAAGTAAACAAATGTATACCTTCCTTTCAACCAATAAATTATGAATGTTAAAGAACTCTGCTGCCCACATCATTCCCCTGAAACTTCAATCGACCCCATACCTTGTCCTTTTCTTAGATCTATTATCTACACGTAAGTCCTATGCTTACATGTTTCACCTCTCACCTTCTGCTTCTCCACTACCTTATATCAATACCTTGACCTTCAATATGTGGTCAAATGGTATATATCCGTCTAGTGGAAGTCAACAAATTTCCCGAGCTCTTCTGCAACAGATGCTGGAGGAGATACAATGACATTAATGAACTATTCATTGTCCTTAAAAGTCTTACAATCCAGTGCAAAAAGATGAACACAAGTAAAATATTATAATACAAGCTAGGTAAGTCTTATTCTGATCAGACCTGAGTTTAAACCTATGACCTTTAGGACCTTGCTTCTCTACACTTTAGTTTCCTAATTTCTACAACGTGAATAACAATGCCCTGTAGTGTGGTTGTAAGGTAAAATGAGAAAATCAATATGCTTTTTAGTCCAGAGCATACCAAAAAGTAAGCAAAGGTTAGCAATGTCATTGTTCATTATTATTTCAACAGAAAACATAATGCTCTCACAATACAATAAACAGCACCAAAGTTTGAAGTCCAGAATAGATCTTCTAACTGAGGTGGTTAGAGAAAGTTAGAGGGAAACAAAATTTTCAGCTGCAATTTAAAATAAAAACACCTTATGGCCGGGCATGACAACACATACAAAAGGCTAGGGACACAGCTCAATGATAAAGAGCCACTGGATTCAGTAGGCTGAGGCAGGAAGATTCCAAGTTTGAAGTCAGTCTAGAAAACTTAATGAGACCCTGTCTCAAAATAAAAAATTTCGGGGGATGTAGCTCCGTGGCAGAGCACTTGCCTCACATGCATGAGGCCCTGGGTTCAATCCCCAGTATCACAAAAAGGGAAAGGAAGAAAGAAAAAAAGACTTTGTGAAAAATGAGCAAAGAGACATTAGTTATAACCTGGGTCTGAGGCTGGTTTGCTTTGTACATGGGTGATGAGCAGCAAGAAATCAATGAAAATTTCAATGTCTTAATTTTTTTCATTTATAAGTTAAAAGATTGAGTTAAAGAACTGTCAGAATTTTCTAGAACTCATGTTTTATAATTTCATATAGGAACCAGGTAGGCAAAGTGAAAGCAGAAATTCCAGGTAGTTATAGATAATATCTTGCCTGGTGGGGCAGCGCATACCTGTAATCCCAGCAATTTGGAAGCTAAGGCAGAAAGATCCCAAGCTTGAGGCCAGCCTCAGAAATTTAGTAAGGCCATAAGCAACTCGGTGAGACCCTGTCTCAAAATTTAAAAAAAAAAAAAAATCTGAAAAGGGCTAAGGACACAACTCAGTGATAAAGTGCCACTGTATTCAATCCCCAGTACCAAAATAATATTTAAAATTCTGAAAAACATATAGCTCCACAGAAGGCAGGGAAGAATCTTCTATATAAAGCATAAGATCCAATGGGATGGGAGAGAAGACATGAATTGTTAATTTTGACTTCCCCCATAGGTAAAAGAGAGCTACTAAAGGTCTCGTAGTATGAGAGTGGCATAATAAAATAAGAACCGCATTTTAAAAGCAGAATAACAGCATAATGGTAAAATAAGATTGGAAATGAAGCCAGGCAGAGTGGTGCACATCTGTAATACCAGGAAGATGGCAAGCTTGAAGTCAGCTTGGGCAACTTAGAAAGACCCTATATCAAAATTTTAAAAAGGGCTGGGAATGTAGCTCATGGTAACACGCCTAGGGATTCAATCCCCAGAAGAGCGCATCCCACATATGCACGCACACACAGAATGTTTCAAATTCAACTATAAGGCAACTCACATTGCTATTAGTGGTTCAGAAGATCCTGTACAATAAAAAGATGATCCAAACCAGCTAATGTATTCATTGATTCCAAAGGAAGCAAAAATTTTAATAATCTGAACTTCATTAAAACTTCTGATTCATTTGCTAGTTTTCATTCTTTCCATGAACATCTACAGAATGCTTTACCACGTGCTAATCACTGGGAATGAAACAGCGTTGCTGCCCTGAAAAAAATGACACATAGGGTTTTAAAATCCAACCTAATAAGTGCTATTAAACTTCTTGGGAGACAAAGACAGGTATTAACCCTACTTGTAGGAATTAGAAACTATTTCACAGAAAAGTTGACATATAAGCTATGTCTTGAATGATATGACTCACTTTCACAGGATCAGGGTCTTGAAAGAAATGGCTCAAAAGCATAAAAATTTTTATCGCCAAAGGAAAAAGCCTGAAAAATAAAAAACCAATCAAATATTAATTACTATAATTTCCTCTTATTAAAAATTTTACTCATCTTTATACTTTAAAAAAACAAAACATTTCACAGTTGTATTGACAGGGAAAAAAAACTTCAATGATTACCAGCAAACATTTCAAGAAAGAGTAGAGGTTTTATCAAGCATCACACATTTTAAAAGTATTTCTTGGGTAAAAAACAAGACAAAACATACAAATACACATACAAAAATACACAAAGACAGATATCAATAAAAATTTGTTAAGCCACAGCTACAGTTTGTATATGTAGAGGTTAGACTCTCATTTAGATGTTTTCTTCTTATTTCTAATTTACCTGCCCTAATTTGTTTTTATGTAAGCAATTGTATCAAATATATTTCCTGTATATTCCCACAAATATATTCCCTCAGATCCTCTGTAGAGTGATATAGAAAATAACTACCTCTCCACACAAATAATTTAATTTTTCATATAAGAACACAGTTCTAAGATTTCAAAAGGGACACTCTAGTACCAATTTAAACTGCACTAATTCACAATTCATTAATATCACAAATGGGAAAGAAATAATGAATCAAATTATTCTAGTTGCTTTTGCCATCTGGAAAATTCACAGAATAACTTAATTTACTAGAAATAAAGTATTCAAAGTTTCTGCCATTAAAACAATTTGACATATTTTTCAGTGTTGGTTGTTCAAAAATAATTAATGGGATTCTTACAGTTGCTAAAATAATCTGATAGTTATTTTACAAACCAAAATGCCTAAAAGGCATGAAAAGAAATATTTCTAAATAAAATACAGTATCATCATTTATTTACTTCAAAACCTAACTCACTGGAAAATAAATACAGAATTTCATTATACTTCTTTCTATTCTTGGAGAATAAACGTTTTTTCAAAGCATGACATTTTGTTTATATTAGTATGGTATGCAGCAGCATTATTTGTACTGCAGCCCAACATTCAGTAAGTACTCAAAGTATTTAAAAACTGGCAGTTCATATTTAATATTTAACAAAAGAGTCATGATAGTGACTACTACCAGCACAAGGATAAAACTAAACCCCATTTATTCTACAAAAGAAAAGCTACAAAACTGAAAAGGACTATTTCTTATGGGATTAACATTACTCATAGAATTTGGGGGGAGTGGCAATTTACAAAACCAACATGGGTTTTAAAATGTCAGACACAAACTTCCTGGAGATTTGGAAATATGGTAAGTATTGTAATGTCATTCCATTACAAAACAGTTCTTCACAAATTCAGTTATACATTTCGATTCTGTTTACTCAAATCAGAGGAAATAAAGTTGTCTGCAGGAAACACAGCAGCAGCTTATTGATCTCTAGCATTACAAGGTTGACCTTCTCAGGGCAGCATGTTTAGCAACATTTTATGTTGGGGAAAAAATGGCAAAGGTTAGGACGCAAACCCATCCTCATTTCCTGTGAGAATGGACTTTTTAACTGTGGAATATGTTGGAACTCTTGGATTTCCAAATTTACAGCCCTTTAATCCATGGCCCAGAAAGTTGATTACCTGAATAGGAAAAAATTTACAAAGATGCTTTTTAAGACAAAAACCTGACAATACAAACTTGGGGATGAAGTTTTCACTTTGCTCTATGGCTTTTTTTTTTTTTTCCCATTGTAGTGTAGATACTTTTAATGCTATGCCTATGGGAGATTTGATGATATTCTCCAGAAAGAAATTATATAGCCTTTTAATAAACTTATTCCTTATTTTCAAAGTCTGACAGGGTCATGTCAAAGGGCATAAGACCCAGTTTGAAGGGAGTGGTGAAAGTTAAAAAAACATAACTATCAAAAAGAATGACTAAGTCAGGCATGGTGACCCACATCTGTAATCACAGCAGCTTGGGAGGCTGAGGCAGGAGGATCACAATTTCAAAGCCAATCTCAATAACTAAGTGAGACTCTGTCTCTAAATAAAATACAAAATAGAGCTGGGGATGTGGCTCAGTGGTAAGTAAGTAAGTAATAAGTATTGTAATGTTATTCCATTACAAAACACTTCTGAACAAATTCAGTTATACATTTCAATTCTTCATGAAACCGCATCTGTTTACTCAAATCAGAGGAAATAAAGTTGTCTGCAGGAAACACGGCAGCAGCTTACTGATCTAGCATTACAAGGTTGACCTTACACGGAGTACCCCTGAGTTCATTCCCCAGTACAAAACAAAAAGAATGACTACAGTCATTGTGCATACCTGTAATCCCTTAAACTTGGGAGGCTAAAGCAGAAAGATCACAAATTTTAGAGATCAGCCTTAGCAAGTTGGAGATATCCAGTCTCAAAATAAAAAATGTTAAAAGGCTCAGGGATATAGCTCAGCAGTAAAGCACCCCTGGGTTCAACACCCCAGGTTCAATCCCCAGCGGGGATGACTAATTGGTTGAAATCCTCTGACTATATAAAAGTCCTTAAGTTAATAATGATAGCCAAAAAAGAAACAGACTAGCCAGGTCAGTGGTGCACACCTGTAATTTCAGCATCTTGGTAGGTTAAGGTAGGAGGATCACAAGGTAGAAGCCAGCCTCCGCAACTGGGCCCCATTTCTAAATTAACAAAAAGGACTGGGGATACAGCTCAGAATTAAAGTGCCCCTAGGTTCAATTTGGGGTGTCATTTTAAAAAAGAGAGAGAAATAGATTCTTGGTCAGCTCTCTGATGCTGTGCCAAATACCTGAGATAAATCAACATAGGAGGAGGAAATTCTGAAATATTTGGGTTCACAGGTTAAAAGTTTCAGTCCGTGGTCAGTTGACTCCACCATTTGGGGGCCTGCATAGGGTAGCACACAAGGACAAGGGAGCACAGGATAGAGCACAGCTGTTCAGCTCATACCTCCTCTAAGGGCATGCCCCCCCCCACAATGTGACAAGCTTCCTTCCATAAGGCTCTACTTCCTAAAGTTTCCACCACCTCCCAAGAGTGCCTCAGGGTGGCCTATGACCTTTAGCATATGGGACTTAAGGGGACACTTAAGATTGAAACCAAAAAAAAAAAAGTTGGAAATAATTATTATATCAACAGCTTCTTTTGAAATTTGGTAAAGGAAAAAAGTATTTATCCTGTATTTCATGGTAATTAAATAACCCACATCAATAAGGTAAAGTTATCTAGCCAAAAACACCAGAACAAATGAAGCAATTTTTATCCCCTCAAAAAGAGTCAACCATACAGGATCTCTGGATGAAATGCAATAAGAAATAATCATCAACAGCTATGAAAGATTCTAGTCTCTCCATCCTTCCCCGAAAATCAACCTTGAATCTAAGACTCAAGTCTGCCTACCTATTTATAAGAAACTCACAACACAGAAACATTCTAAACTATCACTGCAGGAGGGATACAATAAACAAAGTTCAGAATTCAGGAAATGCTGTAAGACAAACAGTTTCTTCAGCAAACAAACTAGAAGAAAAAGAAAAGAAATAAACTATATATTAAGATACTCAAGGGGCTGAAGTTGTAGCTCAGTGGTAGAGTGCTTGCCTAGCATGTGTGAAGCACTGAGTTCAATCCTCAGCACCACATATAAGCAAATAAATAAAGGTCCATCAATAACTAATAAAAATAAAAAATGTTTAAAAAAAAAAAAGATATTCAAGCCAAGCATTGTGAGAGACCCTGTCTCAAAAAAATTTTAACAAGGACTGGGGATGTGGCTCAGTGGTAAAACACACCTAGGGTTGAATCCCCAGAACCAAAAGAAAACAAAACACAACACTCAAGAGACAGAGCAACCATAAATGTAATGTGAATGTTATCTGGATATTAACTTTAACAAACCAACTATAAAAACACTTGTGAAGCAACTGAGGAAATATGAATATTCACTGAATATTTCATCACATTTAGAAAATAGTAAGTTTTTTAGATATGACAATGGCATTGTGGAGTCTTTTTTTAAAGTGCTCACCTAACAGACATAAATAAGTATGAATCAAATAATATAATATCTAGAATTTGCTTTAAAATAATCCAGCATGAAATGGGGGAGACAGGATGACAGGGTTTAGAAGGTACACAGAAGAAAACAAAAATGTAGCTGTATGTTGATAATTAGCTGGAAGATGAGTATATAGGGATTCATTATTCAACTGTATCTGTATATACTTCAATTTTAAGACATTTTGTTACAAAAGATATACAATTAAAAATCAGGAAACCAACCCTAATCACAGCATCTTCACCTAGCACCTAATAAAATGAAGACCAACCAAAATAAAGTCAAACAAAAACTAGCAAAATATTTACCAGCATTGCCAAAAGAAATAAAAAGATGTAAGATCTGTACCACAAGCCTGATGACAACTGAAAAGAGGGAGAGAAGATTCCAATGAATAGCAGTGTAACTCCAGCCCCAGCCCAACAATAGTGTAGTGAACATCCATATCCCCACCAACTAGTATACTAGCTCAGTTGTACAACACAGCCGAACTGGATCCCTAGTATACTAGTTGGTGGGGATATGGATGTTCACTACACTACTGTACTCTTTATTTTCACATCTAAAAATTTCCTTTAAAAAAAAAAATTACAGCTGGGAGCAGTGGCTCATGTTCTGTAATTCCAGCGGCTCAGGAGGCTGAGGCAGGAGGATCATAAGTTCAAAGTCACACTCTGAAACCTATCAAGGCCCTCAAAATCTCAAAATAAAAAGGGGCTGAAGATGTGGCAGCGGGGAGGGGGGGGGAGCCGGGGAAGAGAATGAACCCCAGGCGGGCAAGAGGGAAGGAAGGAGGAAATGAGAGAGGGAGGGAGGGAGGGAGGAAGAGCAGGAGGAGGAGGAGAAGAAAATTATAAATATGCTTCAAAGTATCACTGCAGAATACATTTATTTGGTTTCCCACATATCTTGGTTACTTTCTGACTTGCCATCATTCCACTTTAATCCTTTTACTTCCAATTGCCAAGGAAGAAAAGGGGAAAAAAGTAGTCACTAAGGATAC